ATAATTCCCTCCCACACCCTTGGCCCTGGCTTAAGTTCGAAAATCTGTGTGTGTGTATATGTATCAGGAGGCGGGGGAGGTATGGATGGAGTTGAAAGTCCTCTCCTTTCCCTTTTATTCCTGCTCGTTCACGGAAGGTCATTTGTATGAGACGATGCCTGCTTATACTCCTGGTTTGGGCAGTGCCATGGTGTAGGCAAAATATAGCCCTGCAAAACCAATGAAGGAGTAGACTCGGGATACGCTTTCTCTGAAGATCTGGACTACTAATATGGTTAGAACAGGAAACCACCCTGTCCAGCAAACCAAGTTTGATCCAAAATTGAAGACACATGAAAATGTGAGATAGAGCTGTGCTTGGAAAGGCCCAAATGTTTTCTCTGAGACCAACCTACCATTAGTTTCCTTGGATATGTTCCACAGCGCAACAATGCCAAGTGCATTTTAGCAGCTGGGTCCGGTGCATTGGTTTTTTTGTGCCATCTTGCTGAGCATTGGTCGAAATCCAAAGAAGCTTGTAAGTACACAATGGGGTATGTAGGTAATCCCATTCATTGCTTTAGGTGCAGACACTTACATGCTTCGAGATAAGCACGTTCTTCAATAACTGCCTGAATTGATGAGACAGCAACCAGCCCCTCTCATGATTGTCTTCCTGAGAGAAAAATACAGCATCATATAATAGTTCTAAAACACCTGCAGCATCCCTAACAGTCTATTTCCCATAGCTTTGAGAAAGATCAATGTTGCTTGGTATAAGCTCTTTTCCTTCTCTCTTCCCCATTCTCTCTACTCCCCAGTTGTGCCCTTAACTTTTGGCTTGACGCAGTCCTCTAGAGGCTGAAAAGGTCTTGACCTGGTATAAAAAGCAATGTTGTTCACATGTAATAAATATTTAAAATGTTTTATCAGTGTAAATAAATGCTAAATTCTGTGAGCCCAGGGAATGGCATTAACATGTTTTGGTTACTGAAACATTTATGGAGTCAATGTCAGCCAACAGAATGCAGCCAAGAGGGTTTTTTTTTAAAGGTAAATTGAAGTGCTTTTAAAATAAATACTAAGAGCTGTTTAAGATCTTCAATTATTAACAGAAGAAAAGTGCAGGCTGAAAAACTGCAGAGAATTCCTTTTGTGGCACTTTCCCTAACCTCTGTGCAGTTCTCTCTTTGTCCAGGCTGGAGTGAGCTCCTCAAGGCAGATGCTGTGCCTTCACAGATGTCTGTAGACTGTCTAGCACATGGAGAGAGCTTCCACGAATGAATAAGTACATTTAGAATGCCAAATATCTGAAAACCATTTATTCTTATATTTACTTGCCAGGACATATGTTCAGGACTCTGCATTTATGTTTGGCCAACGATGGCATTGCCAGCCTCTCTAAAGCAGTGTAAAAACATAGCATTTCACTCTGCTGTGGGAGGCAGTTATTGGCATCACCTACTTGAAATCCAGAAGCCAGCTTTTCGGTCTGATCAGGTCATCAGGCATTCTGATTTAATCATGAACATAAGCTGCACAGCTCGTTGCTAGGAGTGCAAACCTTACCTCCACAAGGGAGAAAATGCCAAAGACGTGCAACTGTGTATTAGAGAGAGCATCAGGCAAGTGGGACTGTATTGCCCGTGTATTGTGAGCACCCATGTTGGGTGATATCTATGTGTTGCAGTGTGCAAAGATTAAGAGCATGCATGAGTTGGGACAGAGAAGTCATTTTTTTATAACTTCAACTGCCTTTTCTTCCTCTGGACAGCGAAAGAGCTTGTAAAAGTGTGTAGAAGTTTTCACCATTGGTTAGAAAAAGCTTTGTGTCTGCATGTAAGGGGATGATTCGCCTTGATTTATCCTGATCAGAAATGCATCTGATCATCCACAGACACTGATCTGTACCTCTCAGATTTCAGAACACAGATTTGGTGTGTTTTGAAGCATGTGGGTTTTTTATTAAAAAAGTGTCTCTGTTTGTTCTACCTACCCACAGCTCTCCCCTAGTCCTTTAATCCTTCTTTATCTGCTCTCCCTGTTCTCCCCTCTTGCTACTACACTGACTTTTCTGATTGTGCAGGCCTGGTTCCTCATGCAATTCCTTGCAACAACTATTCATGTTGCAAGTGGCTGTCTGAACTGAGAATAATAAAGTAACTTACTGGCAGTAGCTATTTTGCAGCAATAAACTTGACAGCAATGCAGGGAGCATGGTGATGTGCATATATCCCTTGCTGTTCTACAAGAAGCATTCATTACCTCTTCTAAGAGGACATTTCTAAAGTTGCTGCATAGTTAGCGGTTTAAAACTTTTAGAAACTCTGTGAATACTTCAGTGGTAATGTATGTAAGCTTGCTAATTAGTGGAATCATCTGGATTTAAAAACAGACTGCCCTAATGGGGTCCTGCACAGCACACACATCAATTCATGCTAACAGTATTCAGTAGCTCATCTCTTCTTCAAAGTTGGTTTAATATCCTCGAGAAGCTTTTCTCTAATTAAGCTAGCTGAAGGTCCTGTAAATCTTCTGGTGGTACATGTTCCCCGTGACTGTCTGAACACCTTGTCATCTCGTGTTTATGGTGCAAGCCTTTTATTTCACAAGCACTGCTTTGTTAATGCAAAGGGCATTGGTTTGTGCAGATATTATCTTCTCTGGACATCTGTAGTGCACTGAAGCACTTTCATGGTGTGGGTAATAATGAAGCTACATTTAAAATGAGAGGGTTTTGTTCATCATTGTGTCTGTCCTCACTACCCTCTCAAGAGCACTGGTTATATCCTATGATGCATATTAAATCAATTAATAATAATAATTAAGGGTAAATTATATAAGACCTGGTATTAGAACTCTTGACCTTGTAATCTTGGCTACATTTTGGATTAACAAGGCTCCTAAAATCACTAAAAATGATGGAGGCCTTTATTTGCTTTTGTGTAGATTTATTTGAAGCTACTAATATTTCAATCTGAGAAGTTTGTAGGGGTTTTTTCAGGTTCATAGCCATCTGTAGTCTTTTAACTTTCCTGTATTGTTGTACATTGTTTGGGAGAAGGTGGGACAATGTTTTAATTTTCTGGTGAATGTTACGTTCTCGACTGCTGTAAGGTATTGGAGTGATGCTGATATGGACTGCAATTCATTTTTGTATATATTTAGAATTAGTAGACTGAATGAGGTGAGCATCTAGGAGAAAAGGTTGAATGCCTCATGTAATCATGGTAATATTTTTTTGCCAGAGATATTGCTTATCCAGAGTAAGTACCTGAGGTAACTGAGCGAGCAGAACATCCCACTCTTGTGTAGATGAGTTTTGATCCTGTCAGTATTGTACTTCATGTAAGGATCTCTTTGTGAAAGCCAGAATGTTTCATGCTGAATATCACTCCCTTGGATAGTAGCATGAACTATTAACAGTTAACTGAACTGACTGCAGACACCTAAAAAAATGTTCTGACTAGAGGATGCTAGTAGACAACTTTGCATTACTAGCAGGCAGTGCATGATCTTGCTGGCCTGGCAGCTGATGCCATCTTTGATCGCTTCTGCTGTGTTCCAACGTGGCTGGGGAGCAAATGCAAAGTCTCAGCCTTAGCTGTGAATTGACAAGTGGATTGCCTACAAGTGAAAGTGCTTGTCAAGAGATGCATCATCCTTATTAGAAAGTATTTAAATTAGGAAAAAAAAAAAAAGTCATAAAAATGAAATCTAAGATCTTAGATGATAGATTTTAAACATTAATAGTTATCACAAACTCTCTTGGCAGATGTATAACACATTTACAACTCATGAATCGCATTTTTCAGAAATCACAGCTAATATCAACTTCTTTGAGGAGATGACAGCATTTGCAGGAGACATTAATGGCTTCTGGCTCTCAGTCATTGCAAAATCATGAGCTCGTAATTGTTCTGATCTGGCTATTTGTAGACTATAGAGTTCTAGAAGTCTCTCAATACTTCCAACATTAATAACTTGCCAGTGACAGTGGTTGCCATCACTGCCACCAGTGATAATAACTTTAAGACCTTTGTAAATGCAAATCCTTACTAAAGGCTCATGAGGCTGGCTTTGTTATTCTGGTTTTACAAATGAGGAGAAGGAGACAGAGAGAGGCCCATGAATCTGCAGCTTGAGTTAATTGCATCTGAAGGTACAGCTGCTTAGCGCTTTAGCAAACTTGGCTACAAGTCAGCTTCCCTGGGCCATTCTGGAAATGTGTGGCTCACTTATGATTAGGACTTATACCAGTCTCACACCTTAACAACAGCTGTGTAATAATATTTTGTTCATACTCCTTTCTGGGGACCTGGACAACCTCTGTTATAGAGTGATCCCTAAATCTTGGGGCAAAAACAGCACTGCTGGTTCTGACTCTTCCTCTGTTCAGACTGAAGTAAGGTGAGGTGGATCTGAAGTGCAGGGAGATCCTAAGAGGGTGGAAGCTCTCAGTCAGTATGGGTTTGGTGGTCCTTCAGCAGCTCAGGCTCTGCCTGACACTGGCTTGACCCCTGGAAGAACCCAGAATCAGAGTAGGGACATGACTTCAGTCTGACATCTCTCCGTATGCTCTGGGGTGCAGCTCTGTGGTACCCCAGCATTTGCTCTCTTGTGTGTCTCACTGTTCTTCTTGTCCTGCCTCAGGTCTGGTTATTGTCTGTTTTTTCTGTACTTTAACTCTCCTCAATACTGTCTGGGGATCATCTTAGGTCTGGTTTTCAAGAACAGGCAAAATAGCTAGTGTATTCCCTCCCCAGGGTGGTGGTATTTCAGTGACAGGTGAAGTAATACCCATTTTACTTTAGTCTGTGATCCAGGCTGCGATGGTAAATTTGTGAAATGTTGGGGATCTTCTCTAGGGTGGTGATCTGTAAATGTATGTCTTTTCATCATCAAGATAATGAGTTCAGGTGAGGGGGAATGAAATAAAAATTACATATTATTGTGCAATTTATAGCCTCTCTAAATTTTGTTCCCTTGCTGATAAGTGCATCCTTCTGTTCTCTCTGCAGGTCTCCAGGTGGTTTTAAATTCAATTATCAAGGCCATGGTCCCTTTGTTGCATATTGCCCTGCTGGTGCTGTTTGTCATTATTATCTATGCCATCATTGGACTGGAGTTATTCATGGGGAAGATGCATAAGACCTGCTACCATGTGCAAGGGGGACTTATCGGTAAGGGGAACATTATATCATATATACAAAGATTTTCTGAGGGAAGCTTTCCACTTACATAATGGAGGATTTGTGCTGGCACCGGAGACAGGTGGCTGTTGCTCCCTGCTGTGTACCTGTTTGGGGTTCCACGGTGGTAATTCCTTTGTTCTGCTTCTTGGATATGTATCACCTTTGACATAGAAAGACTGTCTCTAACGGTGAGAATTTAGTTTGCTCATCTTGGGCACTCAGTTGTTGGCCTGTCTGTAAAAGCTACAAGCAAAACTGTCAATCATAGAATCATAGAGTCATTAAGGTT